GGTTTTCAGAGGCAGGTAATCACATGAGGAGATAGTCATCTTTCTCCCGTGGAGCAGCTGGTTTATTTAAACCACCCTTTTGATTAGCAGTGCAATTCCTTAACATTAATCCACCAGAGTGCTCTCTCTCTTCTATCTCTCTATCTCTCAGGAGCTCTGATGTAAAGTGGATCTGATATCCATCTGAGTTGGGGGAAACTAAGAGGGGATAAATAATATATACTGCACTGAAACAGATGAGGGAGAGAACTGTTCAGGAGGAATATATGATTAGGTATTATTGTCATGACAAGAGTCCAGAACGAAAGATGCATAGTGGAGTGGACTTGGAGGGGGGACATTTCATAACAATTAAATATTTCTTTTTCGTTTTTGTTTACTGTTCAATGAAAAAAGCGAACTGGGGTAGGGAGGTGTGGGCAGAAAAGAAATTGTAGAACAATGAATGACTGGAAATCCAAAGTCTCTGTAAACTTTCATTAAAATAAAAATAATTTTAAAAAGAAGCTGTGGTGCAAGCCCAAATAGAAGTTGTTTGAGGCCCCCAGCTGCTCCACAGGAGAATGATGGACAATCTCCTCCAGTACCAATAACTGTTTCTGAAAACCTGCCAGAGAGCCAGCTATGGGTTGGTTCTGACTGTGGTACAGAACAACGTGTGTGGTGTGTGTGTGTGTGTTTGTGTGTATGGTTGTTGATTGCTGTCAAGTAGACCATGACTCATAGCAACCCTACAAACAAAAGGCATGAAGGTTTTCTATAACTATCATCATTTATTAAAGTTGACTTGAGTCATCCAATGGTTCCGTGGGAGAAAAGACTTGATACTATGCCCCCTTAGTATGCAATGAGGGTTGCAGAGTGGAATATATTTGGGGGTAGGGGGTGGGGTTTGGGGAGGTGCGGGGGGGGGGGAGGATTGTGTACCAATGAGGGAGTTTTTCTTTTGCTTTTCAAGGAGAGGAGCAAAAGGGAGGGGGGAGGGGTTTGTGCTGGGAGAAGGGTGCAACAATGAATGAATGGAATCCCAAAATCTCTGTAGATGTTCATTGAAATGAAAAATAAACAACCTAAATTAAAAAAAAAAAACTCAAACCATTCAAATTCTTTTCCACACATGTATTCAAAGGGGATTTTTCTTCTAATATATTATGCATTAAAATGAAAGCAAAGTCCAGTTTATAATAAATAAATATCTAAATTATTTCTTTTAAAAAAAGTTAAAAAAAACCAACAAAATAAAACAACAAAGTAGGAAACTGTGAAGCAAATCTAGTATGTGTTCTTGGATCACATAAATATAAACCCACACTATGCCACCTAATAAGAACAACAATATATTTATATGTTCATTGTTGATTACAATCGAGTTGAGCGTGACTCTTAGCAACTCTATGAACAAAAGACCTAATGCCTTTCCATAACTATCATCATTTCTCCCAGTTCATAGAGTATCAGAGTCATGTGTTTTAGGAAGTGGATGCCACTCCTGCTCTCCTGCTTCCAAACCTGTTTTACAACTGGAAGCTCCACTAATCACAGACCACATTGGGGAAACCATTGTGGTATTTGATACCCCAATGGTACAAGGTTAAGCATCACAGCAAACCCAGGTTGTGTTACACAGCACATTGACAAAAGGTGTTGTACAAAGTGGAAGAGTGTTCCTCCAGATATACTAGGACTAGTTTCACTTAGCAGTTGTTAAGTGTCAAGTAGAATACAACTGAGAGGAAGTTTTGCACAAAAGACCTGAACTCTGTTCTGTAACTACTATAATTTCTGTACTTTTATAGAGTTTAGAGAGTTTGTAGAGTTTACAGAGTTTGTGGAGTTTCCAAAGGCATCTAGTTTAGGACGTGGATGCCACTCCTGCTTCCCAGCATAAATCAATCTGGAAGCTCATCCAAACATTGTACATAATGGGTAACCATTATTTAATTTGACAAGACTATGGAACAGTGTGCAGCATCACAGCAACACCAAGTTGTTCAGTTCAGCAAATAGACAAAAGATTGCTGTATCATTTAAGGAATATTTGAAAAATCAATAAATTCAGCCCAAGGGCCATAGTAGGGGTTTTAAAGACACACCTTTGAGCAGACCTCCACCCTAGGCAAAGGCTCACAGGCACCCGCTTTGGGGGGAAAAGGGGAAGTAATACACATCAAACCTGACCTCAAAAACTTCCCTTATGTGTCCATCAGGACTGCCATCAAGATGCAAGCAAGTAGCTAAGGCTTCAGGCCCCAGCATATGTATATGGCTAATTCATTACTATCGTGGCCTAGTGGTAAGGAGCTGCACACTACCAACCCAAAGACATGCTGGTTAAATCCACTAGCTGCTTCATGGGAGAAAATATGGGCAGTCTCCTTCTGTGCAGTGTATGACCTCTGCAAACCCACTGGACAGTCATCTGTGAGTCAGTTTTTACTTCATTACATGACAACAATGTAGATAATCTATATCTGTGTCTTTATCATCTATGTCTATGATAAACAACAACTACATATATATGTTATCGTGTACAGTCAAGTTGGAACTGACTCACAGCTCACCCTCCAGATGGTTTTCTGAGGCTGTAAATAACAAGGCTGCCTTTCCCCAGGGAGTTGCTGGTAGATTCGAACCATGCTGCTTTGGGATTGAAGTGTACTTTCTTACCACTAGGCCAGCAGAGCTCCTGTGATGTGATGGGATATACTGCAAACAGTGTTGAGGTTTCTGAGTAGCTGGGAATAACACTCTGTTGTGCAGAGTTAATTCGTAACTTCAGCTGCCATAGTTTCACTGCTGATCTGGGCAAGGATGCAGTGCTCTGCCGTGGGCTGCAGCAGCTGAGTTGGGGGCGGGCTGATGTAGAAATTATTTTGCTAAATATCAAGGATGAGAGAATGAAAATGTGATTTTCTACAAGTATATTTGTACAGAGGAGGTAGGAACATAAACAAGCCATTATATATACCAAAAAAAAAAAAAAAGGCTTATTGTTGTCAGTCCAGAGTGTGTTTTTCAGGGATCTCCCAAGTTCCAGGAGCAAACAGAGCATAATATGCAACCTTTGCAATCACTAAACAGAGTGATCATTCCTAAATTGACAAAGTAGGAAATGTCTCAATGAATTTTTCTGGAGGGCTTCAGGCCATGTTTTGCCAACCATTTTTCACAAATATATTAGCATGTGAATACTCTTCGATTCCTTCTAGTCTGGTCAATTTGGGCTGGGGTCTCATTTGGCCTACCATTCCATGTGGTCTCTGTGCACCCATTCCCTTATATATTCAACTGGGGCGGGGGAGATCCCCTGAAATTGTAAAACAAATCAGAATAACACATGAAACAATGTGGTGCTTATATAGATGAACAAGAGCAAAAGCAAAATTCAGGTAATAATGGTAAAAGAAACATGCTTATAAAAAAAAACAAAATGCCTACGATCCTTATGAAAAGGCCTGTGTCTGATTACCAACTGGCACAACTCAGTAGCAAAGGTTTCACTCACGAAAAATGTAAATATAGGACTAATTCCCTGATTCCATAAGCACAAATCCCCAGACCGGCTAATGAACTCAGCAACAAGAACCCAACAAAACCAGTCAGATCTCAGGCTGTACTTGAGGCTGGTTCACATGGTAACTCATCAGAAGTGCAGATTTGGGGCGCGAGGGGCCCAGTGAGTGAACTGGTTGATTGAACAGTTTCCTGGAATGCTACCAAATGGAGCTCATCACAATTGTTTTGGTGGAGTGTTTAGAAATATAAAAGGACCATCAGGCTAAATACATGAATTATGAAACAAAACTGCTTACCCCAGTGGTGAAAGTGTGTGCTCGCCAGGTTCTGTTTTTCTGAGTAGACTATTGATCTTCAATGAAGTTTTTTGAAAATATAGAGGCTATTTAGATGCATAAACTAGTTGACATAATCTATGCACATGTGAGTGCTCACAAGAACCTGTTGCTGATTGGTGAGTCTACCTGTAGTTGCCTGATTATCAGAAGAAAGGGCTGGCAGAGCCTGGAGGGCAAGTAAACGCATAGTCACTAAGGTGAGTTGCAGGTGATTGATTAAACAGGTTAAGCAGGTTCTGCTGGTTCCTTGTAACCATGACGGCAGAACTAGGAGTATTTTCATAAATATATTCATCTAATACACAACACTCTGTGAATGGAATTACCTGCAGTGCCTTATATCATTTCTCTCCCACCCTGAAGTAAAAATAAAAAACAAATCTCTTTTCTCAGTTTTGAGGGATGAGATAATTTAGTTAATATTTGGGAACATAATATTTCCTTTCAAGAGCTAGTAGGTGAAAGAGATCATTTCTCTTTGGTGACATTATTAGAGTAGAAGTTGTTAGCTTAATGTCAGGTTCGAGATTGCAGTTAAAATGTGACTAAAAGTATGTAATATAAGGTGAGTAATATGGCATTCCTTAGTCAGCTGGATGCAGATTCTTGTGAATAATTCAAAGTAAGTTATGATTAAAATACTTGGATGGCAAAAAAAATACTTATCCTTGAGTTGAACTAACCTCTGGACACTCACTACATAAAAATAAATAAGAGTATTATTTTCTTTTTATTCATTATTAGTTTTATAACTGTTTCATTTAGCATTTGTTTAACCCTTACTGGAGACATAACTTGCTTTCCCTTTTTGTGTATCTAAAAATATAGAGCCAAGTTTCATCTAATGGTGGTGTGTCTTGTTATAATGCTAATATTGAAAGAAAAGATTTTCTGTAGATTCATGTATATCACATTAGGTTTAGAACAAGATTAGGTCTGGGGACATGATTGCACTGGGAAGACAGTGGTTTATCTTCCTTTGTGGAATAGTGAGCCATGGGGGGAGGGGGGTGGAATCCAGTAACAACATTAAAGTAACACAATGGAAGATTTTACAATAAGCTACTCTAGGAAATAGTAAGCCTTATCGTTACTGCTCTGTGGAAAGGTTGAATTTGTTTCCTGAACCTGTTCTTCTGACCACAGGCTGTGAACCCATTCCTGTCCGCTATCTCGAGTGGAGCAACATAGAATCCATCATCGCCATCGCCTTCTCGTGCCTGGGCATCCTCGTGACGTTGTTTGTCACCCTCATCTTTGTGCTGTACCGGGACACGCCAGTGGTCAAGTCCTCCAGTCGGGAACTCTGCTACATTATCCTCGCTGGCATCTTCCTGGGCTACGTGTGTCCTTTTACACTCATCGCCAAACCAACCACCATGTCCTGCTACCTCCAGCGCCTCCTGGTCGGCCTCTCTTCTGCCATGTGCTACTCTGCTCTAGTGACCAAAACCAACCGCATTGCGCGCATTCTCGCGGGCAGCAAGAAGAAGATCTGCACTCGGAAGCCCAGGTTCATGAGTGCCTGGGCGCAGGTCATCATTGCCTCCATTCTCATCAGCGTGCAGCTCACCCTGGTGGTAACCTTGATCATCATGGAGCCCCCCATGCCCATCCTGTCCTACCCCAGCATCAAGGAAGTCTACCTGATCTGCAACACCAGCAACCTGGGGGTGGTGGCCCCTTTGGGCTACAACGGACTCCTTATCATGAGCTGTACCTATTATGCCTTCAAGACCCGCAACGTGCCCGCCAACTTCAACGAGGCCAAGTACATCGCCTTCACCATGTACACCACCTGCATCATCTGGCTGGCGTTTGTGCCCATTTACTTTGGGAGCAACTACAAGATCATCACGACCTGCTTTGCAGTGAGCCTCAGTGTGACGGTCGCCCTGGGGTGCATGTTCACACCCAAGATGTACATCATCATTGCCAAGCCCGAGAGAAACGTCCGCAGTGCCTTCACCACGTCGGACGTTGTCCGCATGCATGTTGGCGATGGCAAGCTGCCCTGCCGCTCCAACACCTTCCTCAACATCTTCCGAAGAAAGAAGCCAGGGGCGGGGAATGCCAAGTGAGTGACCTGACCTGGTTTCCCTCCCCTCCCCTACCCTCCCCTTGCCTTGCCTCACCTCCCCCTTCCTTCCTTCCCCTCCTCTCCCCTCCCCTCTCCTCCCATTCTCTTGCTATCCTCTTTGTCCAAATCCTCCATTTCCCTAACATGTCTCCTGAGTCTTTGTCTCCCTATAGTCTTTTCTCCAATTATCGAATTCTCCTGCCATAAAAAAATAATACTGAGGGTCCTATTTCCCCTCTTTTCTCTAAATAAGCAGAGAGCAATGGAGTCACCACCAGCTAAGCAAACACAGCATCACCTTTGCCTAGAAGTGGTGACTTCAGTTTTGTTAGGAATATCTATCTCCTTTCACAGAGCTTTCCCTGCACAGAGTATCAACCTATCTCTGAGGTTTGAGTTCAAGATGCAAACAGGAAGACAGAGAAAACTATGCACACGGGGAAATAACTAATTGAAATTGAGCATCAAATATGTCCTGAAATAGGTTCCTTAAGTTACTATGCAATCATTTCCCTTTAGACCTTTTGAACTTACATGTGTATTTGCCATGAACTGGACTCTCCCTACTGCATCTTCTCAGAATAGTTTCATAGCCAAAAAGCATCAGAAGAAATAAGGAACCAGAGAAAGGTGAGCTCCCCCAAATTAGGAAGAACTAAACCATTTGGATTATTTTTATTACACTCAGTCTTCTAAACGTTTATGTAACACTTTTGTATCATCTTCTTGGCCTTGTTTTCCAAAGAAGATGTGATAGAATTGGCATATTTGATCTCCTTCTGAAATGCATGATAATAAACTTCACGTACTTTAGCACATTTTCAAATGACCTGGATGTTTTTAAAAATTCTAAAGGTGATGAAATTATTCAAGAATTCAGTCACTTTCACCATTAGCATCATTAACTTCACGTTTTTGAACAATTCTTTTAAAAAGAAGATATTTTACTGGCCATAATGATAACGCATATATTTTTGCAGCATTCTGCCCATCTAAACGAGAAATCAAACTACTACAGGAAGTTCCTGATTTTGTAACTGAGGAAACCATGTGACTGTAAATTTATGTGATTTTTTTAAAAAATGAATTTCTAACTTTGCATTCCTTCCTTGCTTAGCTCTTAACCAATAGAAATTTTCTTTTTTCCTATCAAATATCTACAAGCCTTAAAATTCTTAGCTTTCTATTGTACTTGCCAAGCAAAAACATGAGCATCTGTTAAGGAAATCGTATAGTTGGTGTGATAATGAAATGAGAGAGTCTTTGGGAAAACAAGTATTTGGAATTCATGCTGCTATTATTGTTTCAAAGATAGACATTGCTAAATGGTGAAAGGTGAGCAGTGAAGATAATCTTTTACGTATACTTCTTAGGGTATCGATTTGAAGTTCTTCAGAAAATGCTTATTATGAGATTTACTTAGAGTTAATTTTTTTCTACTTTGCCAGTGAGTTTTTTGGTGTTTTTTTTTTTTATGCTAGCCAACATTTCCATCCCCCCCCCACCTCTGTCTCAACCGCCTGGCAGAGAGTTATCAGCAAATATGCAAGCAAAATAGCACAGTGGAATGAAAAAAAAAAAAAAGAGCAGAGCTCGAGTCCAGATGTGAAATAGCACCATAGACATTTGCATCAAGAGAAAAGGAAGAAGAGGAAATGAATTGGAAAGGAGGGAAAGATACACTGGAAGCTGAAAAGCTCCTTGGGATTCAGATTTTCTTTATCACGTTGTCTGTTTTAGTCTGTAGGGGGTTGTGCTGTTAATCCAAGCACTCCACCTCTCTGGCAGTTCAAATCCACGAGTGGCTCCAATGGGCAATCTCCTCCTATTTGATTTACAGCCTTGGAAACCAGCTGGAGGGTCAGCTATGAATCCACGCTGACTCAATGACAATGAATGAATATATGAGTGGTGTTTTTATGAGATTCCATCATTGTCCAAATCCACCTTTCCACTTTTTTTGGCTTCTATTACGGTTCTCTAGAAACTTTCATATGTCTTTTGAACATGAGTCCTATCCGAAAGCTGTTTCTCTATTTCATGAAAGGAAAGAACCTATACGCTCAAGAAGTCTTGGATTGGTGCTAAGGAATCCGAATCTTTTTAAAGACCCCATGGCGATTCCATGTGCCATGTGTAGACATGTGTGGACAACAGCCCACGAGCACATTGATGCTTCATATGTGGAACTTACAGCTCAGAGATGATGATACAATGCTCAGTACTTCCACAAGCAACCAGACATTGCAGCGCATGCTAATTACCTCCCCACACGTGAAACTGCTTTGCTTGAATACTGATAAAAGTCCTTTACTATGATGACGTTAGGAGCCCAGGTGGCATGGTAGTTAAAGCAGTTGACTACTAACTAAAAGATTGGCAATTTGGTCCTTCCATGGCCTAAAGATGCGGCAGGCTGTTTCTACAAAGATTACAGCCTTAGGAACCTTCAGCTTCAGCTCTGTCCCACAAGTTGTTATGAGTTGAAATTATCTCAATGGCAATGGCTTTGGCTTTATTTGATGTTAATAAATCTAGAAAGGAAATTACACACAATTTTTTTAGGAGCTCACTTCTGAGAAAAGTAAAACAAGAAAACAAAAGACCCCAAAAGCATTGTTTTAAATAAATTTGTAGTTGTGTCATGAATGCTGGTTTCACAATTGAACTGTTTAACTATTGGCTACAATTTTGCCAGAAATACCAGATTGTTATAGTGAGAAAGATGTTACTAAATAACCTTTGGAACACACTGAGTTCTTGGTACAGTGTGTGGCTTCTCCAAAGAACCCACACAGCTGAGCTGACCCACGCAGATTATTTGAAGCTAAACTTCTGTGGAAAACATTTACTCATTATGTTTTCCTCACTAATTCTGTTGTTTCTCTGGTAATTATGATGTATTCCTGGTGACAATAATTTTTAACTATACCAATAATCTCCATGCCTGTTTTCATCTTTTTTTTTTAAAGAAAGGTGTTTACACTTCCCTGGCTTATTATGAAGTTACAAACCCCCTAAACAATCTAATAGTCTTCTAACACAACAAAAATGCAGCAGAGTTGTA